AGGCTGTGGTACCCCTCCATCTGGGTGCTGGTGGAGTGACATGCTGTATCCCTCCCTGCCCTCCTGGCTCTGGCAGGTAGAGCTCTCCTGGAACAGCTTTAATAAGGACGACATCTTCCTGCTGGACCTGGGCAAGGTGATGATCCAGTGGAATGGGCCCACGAGCAGCATTTCCAAGAAGGCACGGGTCAGTGTCTACCCTGGGAAATTAGGGGTGCTGGGCTCAGGGAGAAGGGTGGCCACCCCAGGAGGTGAGCCTGGCTCTCTGCTACAACCTGAAATTCAGCTACAAGTGCAAGCTGAGTCCAGACGTGGGAGTGGTGGTACCCTCTGGATGCCAGGATAAAGGGACACTATCCACCAGCCTCTGGGAGTTGAGCGGTGACAGGAAGGATGTGGGATGGACTATCTGTGGGGTGAGGGCGGCATGCTGGGGAAGCCCTGACTGCCATATCCTCTCCGGCAGGGTCTGGCCCTAACCTGCCACCTCCAGGAAAAGGAACGTGGTGGTCGTGCACAGATTGGTGTGGTGGATGATGAGGTGAAAGCCACTGATCTCATGGAGATCATGGAAGCTGTGCTGGGCTGCAGAGTGGGCAACCTGTACACCGCCATACCCAATGGGAGTATTAACCAGCTACAGAAGGCCAATGTCTGCATCTACCAGTGAGCAGACCTTGGGAGTGGGTAGGGTGGGTGGAATTGCCCAGGCTGGCATGTCCATCATTACTTCAAGGACACAGGGTCTCTAGAAAGGCCTCCAGAAAAGGCTCACGGGTTTCTGGGGCAGGCCATGTGGGAACTTGGGCCCAGCCTGTACTCTGCCTTTCAGAGAAACGCACTATATAGACAAGGTGACTAAGGCCCTAGGGCCAGGCAGTTGCTTGAGGCTCCACAGCAAGGCTACTGTGAAGTCAAGACTTCAGTTCAGGGCCCAGGCCCCGTGCCTTCTGCCTCTGAGCTAAAGGGGGCTAGAGCAGAGCCAGGCCAGGGAGGGGCTGATGGCCACATCTGGATGCCTGTCCCCAAGTGTCTACAATAAGGGTGAGGACCTGGTGATCCAGGAGTTGGCGACCCGTCCACTGACCCAAGACCTACTGCATGAGGAGGTGAGGCAAGTCTGGCCCCAGCCACCCTATGTCCCCACCCACCACACAACTCCACCCAGCCTGGACCACCTACTGACCAGCCTCACGCTTGCTCCCAGGACTGTTACATCCTAGACCAGGGGGGTTTCAGGATCTACATGTGGCAGGGACGCATGTCCAGCACTCAAGAGAAAAAGGCTGCCTTCAGCAGGGCTCTGGTGAGGCTATGGGGCCCTGTCTCAGAGGGACATAGCAGTGTGGGGGCGGGGTGGGGGG